TTTCATGGTATTCATTTTATACGATAATTAATTTCTCATTGACGCATCACTTTACTTTGCTGACATTTACCGTAGATAAATGGTTCAGATAAAAGTGTTCTAGTATTAATTAATACAATCTTACATTGGGCAAAATAAATTTTTAAATATCGCCTTGTGGATGTTATATATTTTTAATGGCCAGTTTTGCCTAAATAAGCGAAGGAAAGGGAGAGGGAAATAAAGAAACAAAATAGATTTTTACTCTTATTACGATTACTATTAAACTAATACACAGTTTTATAAATCTTCATTTTAGTATGGGTGGTGTAAAACAAGTATATTTGATGCACGTGCAATGCTTCAGCGAGTGAATTAGACACCAGATTTTCCACTAGTATGTTTTTTTGATGATACGTGTTTTACAGCATTTAATTATATCTACAGATCATAAAAATATGACGTTCACAATACAAAATATATATTATCAGCTTTCATTTATAGAAAATAGTTCTTGGCTCCATTTTTTATTGATTGAGAAGTGTCACTTTGTTGTACGTGCATCGCGAAATAGACTTTGCCGTAAGCGTAAAACAAAATAGGGAAAGTCACATAAAACAATTTGGTACAACAAAGAAAATAAAAAACTAAACGACATGAATGGCTGACGCCTCGCATATTGAGACTAATTCAAGATTACACATATTCTTATATGTTGCCATGAATTCGTACGAAAAAGTAATGCATACAATTCGTAGGAATGTGTCTTGGCGAACGCATTTCAAAATACCGGTCTTGGCTCCTATTTTAGCTTCGACCATCAACATTTCATTCTCACCCCCAAGGACTCATTGTTCCTACTAGTAACGTAAATAGGTATTTCTACAATGAAAGCATTGCAACAATGGATTCAAATTTACAAATATAAAATGAAGTAAACAGTAATGTATCTCTATAAAGAGAGGCGCAATGAGCTGTCACCATTATATTAAAGCCCATAAATTCGAATTATGGAATGTGGAATTGCATAAATTTTTTGGAGGCATGAAGGCTCCTCTCAGGGCCAAGTGAGACCAAGCACCTCGCAAGAAGGCTCCGGGGGGGTAGCTGCATCGCGATGACCGAAGGAAGTAACGAAGTGGAGAAACGGACACAGGGCTGCGGCAGAGCGGTGACAGGAAGGGGGCAGAGTATTGCGGCGGGGACAGGGTGAGAAGGTGGTGGTGGTGGTGAGCGCGAGCGCAGCGTGGCAAGACCGGGTGGAGCAGTGTCAGGGGAGAGGGTGGAGGCGGGCCAGGGGTCTGGTGAGGCAGAGCGGTGGAAAAGCAGCACCAGCGAGTGCAGAGCGCTAGCTAAGCAGAAGCAGAGCGGAGGCGGAACGATGGCAGAGCGGGGGCGGGGCGGAAACGGAGTGGGGACGAGGGCAGGGGCGGGAAGACGCAATCCGAGACGCGCATGAAACCGCCCTCAATTTCCTTCTGGGCGCAGCTGCGGGCCCGCGCCGCCCTCATCTAGGCCAGGCGCCATCGCGTCCTCGCTCTACCTCCCCGCGTCTCTGGCGCGACCGCCTGCACTCCGTGGACATCTTTATTCTCGACTTCGGTGTAGTCGGCGTTCCTGTTCGTAGTGTCCTTCCGCTTTTGCAAAAAGAAAATCGTACAATAAAGTAGCTAATTGGAAACGCTGGCAGAGATAATGATTGTCTACGTAAATAACAGGAAAGGAAATTATTTGTATTTATCGCAATAGGGATTCCATTATATAACGAAATATTGCCTATTACGGAATGATTTTCTAGCGTTAGAGTTGTTTTCGTTTTTATGAAAGCCGTAGAGCTATTCTATTCAATGAAGCAATCACAGTTGAAAGTAATGACGCTACTTGCTGAATATTTGCTCAAAGTTAATATGTTTATGAAGCCTTTAAAAATGCATTCAGTCTAAAAATATCTAGCTTATTCAATAACTTAACAAATTGTTGAATAAGCTAGATATTTTAAGATTGAAAGCATTAAATAAATCTGAGATTGGATTTCGCGTATTAGTAACAGCCTTAGAGTTTAGATATAGACTTATTTTGAGTGATAAAAGTTGTGCATTTTCAATAATAAATACTAATATAGTGACGGTAGGTTCATTTTTTTACCAATTACATAACATCAATTCTGTGATTAGAAAAAAGTTCCCTCACGGCACCCGTCGTGAAGCATTTTTCGTAGTTAACGAATCTAGTTCTTGTTCGTATCTCGTCCTTTTAACTATAAACTGTGACACATTGAAGTTTAACTACACAATGTTGTCACGACCAGTAGTACCCCCTTTTCTATTTTAAGTGTATTAACAAAAAAATCATTAACAGAGATACTAAGTTAGACTTAGCTGTTAAAACATCAAAACCAAATTTGTTAACATTTAACCCCCAGTAACGCTTCAAAAAGAACATGGAATCTGAAAAATAAAATTAGAACATAAAAACGACGTCATCAAGTTGCAATTATGACTGAATATCTCATAGTAAAATACGTATATGAATGTCTTCCTTAGATATCTGATTCTGGATATATTACGAAAAGGTCATAACCTACATAGCTGATCTGAAGTCCAGTGAAATCCATGAAGAGTTATCACTTTTAACAGCCATCCTACCTCTAAGTAAAATCAATTCGTTGTTCTCGTTCTGCACCCGTCATCAGACATACACTTTGCGAACAACGTCTCTTCGCCTTCCCCGTTCTCTGTCACTATCAAACAACTCGACAAGTTGGAGCATTACCATCTCAGTATTCTCACTACCAATTTCGTCCCCTTCTTCCCCCCGTTCCCCTCCCCCCCCCCGCCCACGCGCACTGGGCGCGCGCGCGCAAACAAGGCGAGCAGATAGCGATTTGATGACTTTCGGAAGGCGTAACGCGATGTTTATTATTAAACTTCCAGCTGCAGTTTTATGCCACCCCGACGCCGCGCGGCGCCGGAGACGTCCGTCTCGCTTTTCCTCCCTCGCGCCCCACCTCGCGACGCCCGCCCGAAGCTACCGCCCGAAGGGGGCGCACATGAGTTTCCGCGTTCCTTCAACAGCGCTAGCGCTGACAGCGTTGGCTTAGAGACAATGTACCCTGCAGCATTGTTAACCGAGCAGTCACGGAGGTGATTGACTCTTAATAAGTCCGCGTCAACTGCTAAGGTCATTAGTTCCGTAAGTGTAGTGCGTGTGTTTTTTTCTCGGGAGATAGCTGCGATCTTCCCTCGCTGGATGGCGAGATCCGGCGCCGATCTTCCACAGAGTTGAAGGGTTTCCCCAACCAAGTATCTCCCACCAGCGGATCAACGCTCCAGCCAAGACAAGGTCTAAGCTCTCGACCGGTCTTCTAACATGTGTGGATGAAATTGCGTGTGTGTAAGGGGCAAGGATAGAACAAGGAAGCGGAAGGAAATATTGCGCGCGGTCCTTGGCCCGTTTGTTGGAGTTCTCTGGCATTCACCGGGTGTTGATCGGAGAAACCACAGAAGACTACGGATCAGAGCAACCGGCTGCTAGAATTCTCCTGCACACAACAACTGAACTTCACCTTGCTCACAAGCTAGTGTCGAGAATCCTGCCACCTGCACCGGGACTCGAACCTAAGTCAGAGACACTGTGGTGACATCAGTTAAGCCACCTCCCCAGGCGGGTTGCGTAGATTTGTGGTACCGACGGTGGTGGATATTTCGAGACTACCAATATAGCTAGTCTTGAAGTCAAATTCAACTAGTGGCTGGAAGAGAATGCTAGCGTCCTACTGGCCTGATCGGTTGTTTTTGGTGGATCGATATAAGGCGAATACCGGAGTAGTACCCTAACAAACGAGCCAAGGACCGTACGCAATCTTTCCTATCCCATCCTTGCCCCCACCTCTCTCCTTGCACACACGCACACTTACGTGCACTACACTACCACACATGTCGGGAGACCAGTCAGGAGCATAGAGTTTCTACCGGCCGGGGCGGTGCCCCGCTGCGTGGTGAGAGGTACATGTTTGGGGAAAAGACCCGCAAGCTGGCGGAAAGGTCAGCGCAGGGGCTCATTATTCAGAGAAGAAAGCACACCTTCCAGGAGAAAACTTGAACAACCTTACAGGATGAGATGGAGAAAGAGAAAGAATGTTACAGGAAAATATGTATGGAAATGAAGAAAACAGAAGGAGAAATAGAGAAGAAGATACAAGATGGGGTAAAATATAATAAACAAAGAGAGATCACCCCCTACAGCCAGCAGACACGATCATTACGTTCAATTACTGTGGTGAAAAATCAATTTCTTACTATACGAAGTTTTGTGAAGACAGTCATAAATAATATCCTCTTAGATGGCATTCACATCAACTCCGAGTATTTATTCGAAAGTAACAAGAGGAAATGTGATGTTTTCAAAAGAACAACAATCATTAATTATCTTTATATTCGGTCTCTAGTGTACTACTACTTTTACTTAATAAATTGCCTTAAAAGATATGTCAACTTCATCTAAAATCCATTATTTGGCACAGATACTTCGTTAAGAAAATGACAAAATAATACATAAATTCTAACGATAATTCAATTTACACTAACCCACAATGTCGTAAAGTATTTACAAAGGAAGCCTTCATGTAGGTGAGAACCAACGCTGTTTTTAATGAAATTGCAATGAAAATAAAAATATTTTCTTCAAATAAATCAATAATTTATAAGAAATATTCACCTCCATTTTATTTAATATTAATCAATTATTCTCTTTTATAACGATTTCAAAATTAATTATCTCATCAAAGAAATTTAAACCTGACCTAATAAAGGAATTTGAAGTGGCAAACATTTTCATTATTCACAATATACAACAATTTAAAATGTCTTCTCTGAAAGAGAGCAAATAGCGTCAGTTAACGTCTATTAAATTAATCTAATAATTAAGTCTATTTTCTTTATGATGAACAATTAATAATTGATATAATAGTCGATAGTTCGAGAGTTCAGGTCTAGTTTCGAATACAAATATTTGTCACTTACTCGTTTAGGGCATTGAAGAGCGCAAGAGCAGCACAATCCGACCTCCATGACGTTAGCCAAACGGAAAACTTTGTTGACGTCCTCAACTTGCCTTCTTGTTTTGGTTTCTTTCTCCCACAGTCTTGACCTCTTGAACCAGTCGCACTTCCACAAACACAGGAAGATAGCTTTGTGGGTCATTTCCAATGCAATGGAGTTCATTTCAGTGATTTGCGATACATGTCGTGACAAAGTATGCACTATCAATGTCACGTTCGCGTTATATTCGAAATTCAATAACAGTATTTTAGGTGTTCGGTATTTGGAATAGTATTGTTTAACTTCCCGACATACCTGATAGTTTATTACTGTTTTGTATCGTGCACAAATTACATGTGATCGCTGCATTCTCACCACTTCTCTCGACGAACGTTCTTTTAGGAAATATTATATCACGAACACTAATAAGTATAATTAAAGTTATACTGTCACAAAATGTCGCATTTGCTAATAAAGTTTACTTCGAAAAGTTCTAATACCGTGGTCATCGACCTAAATGCACTTCTCACACAATACGTATGTCTTAATGGCCGCTAAACATTTCAAGACCGTTTCATTCCTCGTTAGAGTGGTCACACCCGCCCCTCCTTCTTGAACCCTTCTGTGTGAGCAATAGTGCGTAATCACTCCGTGACCAATCAAAACCTGCATCTCCATGGGAGGGCTGACCAGGGAAGGCAGGTCCGCCAACCCTGTTTATGAATCGGGAGAAACGTTCCAAGTAAAATCTTTGCTGATACACAACTTTTTCTATACAATTAGAGACTTTACCGAGCATCCAAAAAAAACGAAATATTAATTTTAACAACGACATTTAGTGTATTATTTTCCATTTGGATTGTATAATTCTAAAGAACCTGTAACAAGTATTGTACTTCAGTTCCTGGGTCAATGACTTCCAACTCGATCACGTTTACGTCCAGTTTCCCTGATCCTTGAGCAAATGCTGAGATGCTCCCTTGTTTTTGCTTCGTCGTTTTAGCACGTCACACACAGTTCTTAACTGTTTCTGACGTAAATAAATAAATAAATAAATAAATAAATAAATAAATAAATAAATAAATAAATAAATAAATAAATAAATAAACAATCGCGCGCGTTGCTTCCTCCTCCCAACCGCTAGGGATCGCGACCGTGCGCTCTGCTCCTTCGGAAGGTCGTTCGCGTCAAACATCCGTCTGGCGCGGAGCGCGAGATCAAACTCGTGACGCGTCAAGTGAACGGAGACGCAGGGATGGACCATTCGGGATTACTTTGCGCACTTGTGAGTGGCGATCGGGCTACCGGAGTTTTTTTAAAATTTCGAATAATGCAAAATTTAATGAAAATATAGTTGAGGGAATGCGGAAAAATCTGAAAGTTCCAATAAATATAGAAGCGTCTTATTTACTCAAGTTCGTGTCGTCATGTTGACCTGTTTTATGTCACGTCGGTAATGACAATTGGCAGATTTGCGTAACACAGAAACGCGTACATAAAAATCATAAACCTAAAACAAGTTTTCCAAAGTATCTGCACGTTCGTAATACTATTATTTTTAAGTACCAATAATAGATTAGTATCTAATAAGTGTTCATTGATGTATTGTGTGTTATGGTCTTAAATGATTTTACAATATGTCCTATTTAGAGGTTTGCAAAAACCCTTGTACTTCAAGAATGGTCTCAATTAGGTAAACCAGGAAATGTCAGAATATATTGAAGAGGCATTATTTATCATTTGTGTGAACGATAACATGTGTTAGTGGTACTATATTAGATTGATAGTTGTTTTATTGTAATTAAAACTCAAGAAGAAAAATTTTAATACTTGTATAGAAGACTCCAAGACAAGCCAAGAAGTGTAAATAAAACAAGCTAAATAAATAAGAAAAATCTAAAGAAGCAAAAATAACTTTAGTCTGAAAGAGGATTTGCCTATCTGCATAACCCCACTTGATGCATAAAAACACTTAAATCGCAACAATTCGATAGAGTACAACTCTTATAAATAATTATTATATTTCAGAGATTATAAGTAATCTACCTTATAAGAGGATCCAAGTTGATATTTTACCCTGGTCCTCAGCTAAAGGATTGTAGCCTTTATCAGGTTCTTATTTTTCAACACTTTATTTTCCAAAATATTTCTGTGGAGGCTACCACGCGTTATCAAAAAATATGGGCATCAGCAGGCCTTGAGACTCTCACTTCAGCATTGAAGATATATTAACTATACTATATATTTTGACATTGACTTTTGGCTACTATCACTACTAAGTTTCTTCAATTAGATTTCCTTAACAGTTTTTTATTTTTATACCAAATCTAACCCCGTACGGCAGGGCAATTTGGATCATTTCTCCTAAAACTAAACTCTACAAACTTCATGTCCTGGAATAGTTCGAATGATGAATGCTGTTGATGCCCATATTTTTTGATAACGCGTGATAGCCGCTACAGAAATATTTTGGAAAATAAAGTGATGATAAATAAGAACCGGATAAAGACTTGAATCCTTTGGCTGAAGGCCAGGGTAAAATATATGCTTAGATCCTCTTATAAGTTAGATGGCTTATAATCTCTGAAATATAATATAATATGTGTTGCACTCTATTGTTCTGATTTAATTGTGGTTATGCATCAAGTATTTCTATGCAGAAATGCAAAATACGATTTTATTAAAAACTTTAATACCTCTTGGTTTACAATCAACATCCAACTTGGCAACAAATTGAACTTGGATCTCATAGACCAATACATTACGTATCTAGCCACCAACGTTTATTATAACCCACTTAAAATTCTAGCTCAATCACATTTTAAACTTGCCAAAAACTCCACCTACCAAACAAGAATCCAAAATAAATATCCATACCATATATACGTGAAGAAATTTGCTGATTTAAGTCCACACTGAGCACCCGAAATTTGATTCCCCCCTTTGTATTTTCATTTAAATTTTATATTTAAGATTAGTAAGTAAGCCTGTAACTACATATGAATAGTAACATTAACTGAACTATGTAATTTGCTCAAAATAAAGAATAAAAAAGACCTAAAACAACCAATCCTCTTCCTCCCTTCCTCGACTTGCACCAGTGTCACCATCTCCGCCTCCCCAGCCCCCTCGTGTTTTAACATTGGCTGTAAGTCAGGGCAGAGACGGCGAAAGCATTCCAAACTGAAACATAATTCTAGCGTGTAAGTCCGCAGCGGTACTTGCCTCTGTTTTATGTTGAAAGCAAACTCGGGTGGCGTTATGACTCACTGCCAGCGCAAGGCGACGGCGGCGGCGGCGGCGGCGGCGGTGCTAGCTTTTAGGGGAGGCGCCTCCCGCCGAAGAAGCTTCTATCTGTCGTCCAACTGAGACGAGCACTAGTTCACCCTTTGAATGCTTGAAACCTTCGTCCTTGCCTTTCCTTATTGCAACCCACGTCACTATGTTAGCGTTTGCCAAGTGCGTACCGGGAGGTTATAGTCAAACTTTCCTTTGTGAAGTGTTTTCATTTGCAACACTGGCGGTCGCACGTACAGGAAACAATCAGTTCGTAAAGAGAGCATAGGTGTGTTGTTCAGGGAATTAATTGTTTAGATTCATTATTTATCATTCTTGAATTATACAGTACGCAAGACATCTTATTTTAACAGATTGTATCGTTGCACATGTAAGCTTCCGCGGCTCGAATCCATAAATTCTGGGCTGTCCGGGAGACGCCGCGTCGTTGGCTGAGAGGCCAGGGCAGAGTTTGCCTGTCAGCCAACGACGCCGTGTCTCCGGGATAGCCCAGAATTTAAAGATTGTATCGTTGTTCATTACGCCTTCTTAACGTCGAGGTTTCGCCATCGTACTTTAAAGGAAAAGTTCGCAAGTCCTCGTACGTATTAAGACAAGAACAAGCATTTATAATCCACAAAAGAGATTGTACTCCAGTTGTCTCTCACACGTATATCTTTGATACGAAAGCCGAACGAGTAGCAACGGAGGGGGAGAGAAGTGGATAAAAGAGGAAAGGGGAGAAGGAGAAGAGGAAGGGGATAGCGGCAGGGTGGGATGGACAGGGGATGGAGGTATAAGGAAGGATACGAAACAGAACGGAAAATGGCAGCAGAAGGAGGGGATGAGGAGAAGCGGAGCGAAAGGGGAAGTTTTGAAGGGGAAGGGAGAGGATGAGCAGAGATAGGAGAATGTAGAAGAGGAAGGGAATGGCGGCATGGCGTGTTGGACAGAAGATGGGGGTAGAAGGAAGGGTGCGGAACCAGATGGGAAATGGGAGCAGAAGGAGGGGAGAGGGAGAGGAAGAGCAAGGGGTGAAGGATAAAGGAGGGCCAGGGCAAGGGGGGGGGCGGCCGCAATGCGGAGAGCACCCGGCGCCGCCAATTAGTCCCGCCCATTGATCGGAGGCGGTGGGGGCGGCGGCAGAGTGCGCGATATAGACGGCGAAAGTAATGTAGAGAGCGCGATGACGAGAACGATATAGGGGAAGATACAGAAGAAACAACCAAGATTGACCTCAAAAGAAAACCATTTATAATAGCAGAAAGAATAATATTGTGAAAGAGTAAGCAGTGAAGGAAATTACAAAATGTTCTTTGTATGGGAAGAGTTAAGAAATGGCGCTTCCCATATTCTGAGCAAAGTTAAAGATATAGTTAGATGAACGGATGTAATAGCAGATTAAAAGGTTTTATTAGGTAGAATTAAAACCATTACACGATACAATAACACAAACACAAGGCAAAAAAGAAGACTTATAATTGCACAAAAACACACGTACATATAGACAGACAGGCAGATAGATAGATAGATAAATACATAGATAAATAGATAGATAGATAGATAGATCGATAGGTAGATAGACAGATAAATAGATAGATAGATAGATAGATAGATAGATAGATAGAAAGACAGGTAGATATTCAGATGGATAGATAGGTTATTTCATTCGCATGAAACACAGTGTGTGTTAATATTAATATTAGCAGAAAACATATATTTTACGGTTTTTACCGCAAAGCATTCTCGAAGAGTTTTTTGTTGCTGTTGTTGTTGTTATTATACAATTCGTCACAATCTGAATGTAATTTCCACGTCTGCAGTGTTGTAGTCTCTGAAAGTCATTAGCGTCATATGCGAACGAATGTACTGTAAATCGTACTGCCAGATGGCCAGGTCATGCACGA